ACAGGATGAGACACAGGTGAATGCAATCAGTGAATGAGGTACAGGTGAATGTGATCAGTGATGAGTCCGGGCAGTGAGTTCTGGGAAATGTAATTGTGAGGGAAACATGAACATCTGGTGTGGAGTGCCCTCTGGTGACTCTCAAGGGCACTCCACCTGGTGACCGTTACAATGTGGGGGTGGTGATGGTGCAGTGGATTAGACACATGTCTGTGGTGTGAAAGACATGGGTTCGAATCCACTGTCAGACACCAATGTGTCCCTGAGCAAGACGCTTAACCCCTAGTTGCTGCTGAGGCATGTGACCTCTGACATATATAGCAATTGTAAGTTGCTTTTATTTATTTGGATAAAGGCATCAGTTAAATTAATAAATGTAAATGTATTTGCAGGAACGATAATAGCAGCTGGTGAGGATATCTAATGCATTCTCATCCCAGGGTGTCATATAGTGACGCTTTTGATAATGCGTATACGCAACGCATTCTCACCCCAAGGCGTCACCTTTGACCATGCTTCAATATTTGACGCTTTAGGCGCCCTTTAGCGTCAGTTATATGACACGATCCTACGGCGTCATCTAGCTGACGCTAAAGGAAAGCGTCAGTTAGATGCAACGCATTCTCACCCCAAGGCAGTGTTGTAGTCGAGACCTCCTCACTCGAGTCCGAGTCGACACCGAGACCAGAGAGAGTCAAGTCCGAGTCAAGACCGATTCCATAGAGAGTCGAGTCCGAGTCCGAGACCAGAGACGGTCGAGTCCGAGAGCGAGACCGAGGCCAGTGAGGGTTGATTACCTAATTTACTTTTATTTACTTAGAGAAATCCTTTTTTTTTTTTTTTTTACTGAATTTACTTAGAGTTTAAAAAATATGATCAGTTTAGGGTAAAAAGGCCACATAGTAGATGGTGTTAAAAGTAATTTTATTACAATTTGTCATGCGCAGTTGTGCACTAGAAAATCACCAATCACTGGGCGTGTCAATCAATTTAAAGAAATATTTTATTAACATACATTAATAATCATGAAAAATATTTTTAATTGAACTCGAGTGGACTCGGGAATAATTCCGAGTCCTAAAAAAAAAATGTTGGAGTACGAGTCAATTCCGAGTCCAAATGGACACGAGTCCATGACAAGACCAAGACCATTAAAATATGGTCTCGAGACCGAGACCGAGTCCGAGTCTCGAGTACTACAACACTGCCCCAAGGCGTCACCTTTGACCATGCTTCAATATTTGACGCTTTAGGAGCCCTTTAGGTCTGGGGTAAAGTTAGGGTTAGACCACTAGGAGGCGCCTTCTGGCCCATATATATCTTCATCTCATATTAACGCTAAAGGGTGCCACGTGCGTTGGATGTATAGGCATTTTCGAAAGCGTCAGACTCCTTGGGATGAGAACGGGCTGGGATATCAGGTGTGGAAGCAGTCAGATAGTAATAGTTTCAATGAATTATTATGGTAACAGTCTTGCAGGTGGTGATGATCATGAGATTCACTGGATCTTGAAGACGGATGAAAGCAGACCAAAGATGGTTGGCGCCGATCTAGAAGCAAGCTGCGGATATTCCAACAGGTGAGTAACCAGGTAAGTCGAAGCATGTATTCAACAACGAGACCAGACAAATGGGATGTGGTGGCGGCTGCTTATGAAGGGTGAGCAACTGAGCCGGTGCACTGTGTTAGTATGGCCAGTGGTGTGGTAGAGCCTGTGACGCAAGACAGGTTATTGAAAAATTGATTTTTAACTGTGACATGAACAATAACATCTAACCTCATTAACTAATTTTTCATTTTGTCTCCTTTCATAAACCTGAATAACAATGTCCCACATTGACAAAAGTAGAAACGGAATCTGCAGCCTGCAATCTAATTCATCGCATCATTCATTTTGCCACCAGATATTAACTGATAGATGTCTCTAGCCACATCTTCTCACCTTCCCTCTAAAATGTTGGGTGTTTGAGTGCCAGATTGTGATACTACTGCTATCTTGCCCATTATAAAAATGATGTGAATTTATTACCGTACTGTAAATTGAGCTTTTAAAAAAAACTATGTTTAATGACCCTTTACACAAATCAATTGATAGTACTTGATAGCAGAAATTTCAGCATGATGCAGTTTAATTGTTTTTATTTTGCTTCATCTGCATCACGTTTTTTAAAACGACCTTGTTTTTAGTTTCCTATTTGCTATGCCATTTCACAGTCCTGCCTGCGATATACTGTACAGTACGTGACAATACAGAATCAGCATAATGGATCCAGACTCAAGCAAGTTTTATTACGTTCATATGAGCCATCGTTTATCTCAGAGCGGACATTTAAACAATACCCACTACCACATGTATGCTCACGGAAGCATGCTAAATACTCATTGTTGATTGGCACCCGCATTCAGATAATATTTTAAACGAAACAGAATCATTCATAGCAGCTCAACATGCCATGCAATGTCTCCATCAGATTGGTTCAAATGCCAATGTAATTGTGCATTCATCACTCACCAGTGCCAGGAACTGTCACCCAGCATCACAGAAGGGGTTTTGGGCTTTGTGGCTGCTGTGCTGATATCCCATGACAATGTGTGAGCAGGCTGTAATTTGTTTGGTCCAGATATGAAGCCACAACACCCTCGATGCCTGTTTAATTTAACACTTCAGTGGTGTTCATGGTTGAAACTGTATCTCAGTTCACTTTATAAATGCATAGACAAGAAGGAAGAAGGCTTACTCGGTTAGTTTTAAACTTAATTGAAAAACAATTTATTTCTGACACTGTGGATTCACAACTTTACTCTGAAGCTTTGCTTCAATTATAGCCTTTACAATATATATATGAAGAGTTCAGATGCAAAAGCCTCTAAATGCCATTTGAAATGTTCTTCTTTAATGATGATTTTTATCACACTTGTATATTTAAGTTCAGTAATTTCACTTAAATAACAATTAATAGGTAATTATCATTGCCATTTAAGTGAAATCACTGAACTTAAATATACAAGCTTGATAAAAATTATCATTCTAGAAGAAAATTTCAAATGGCACTTAGAGGCTTTTGCATCTGAACTCTTCATATATATATATATATATATATATATATATATATATATATATATATATATATATATATATATATTAATTATAAGAGTTCAGACGCAAAAGCCTCTAAATTCATTGGACATTCATATCCATTAACTTTTTCACTGCTATTACAGTAGTTGCATTCTGTAGTAATTATAGTTAGGGAACTCTATAACAGGCCTTCTTGCCCCATGTACTTAGTCATTAATCACATTAACACTACAGGTTACATGCGGTGCCACAACAACAGCATTCACATACAAACTCACACTGGATAGATTATATATATATATATAGATATATATATAGATAGATAGATAGATAGATAGATAGATAGATAGATAGATAGATAGATAGATAGATAGATAGATAGATAGATATCTGATCTGCAAAGCATGATTTTAATAATCACATTTCCCTTGAATCTAACCACATTTAGCAAGACGATGGAGAGAACAGTTTATTCCGATCAACATTGCTGCCTTCAGAAACATAACAGTTCTACGAGAAAAAGAGGTTGTATTTGTAACAACAAGAATCAAGGCATCCATCGTAATATTGAAATCATTTTATATTTTAATCCTTTTAAAGAATTATTCGAATTGGGAAAAAAAGGTTTATGGATAATTGAAACACTGAGCTCGATGTTGCTATTCACATATGAACATGAAAGGCAGAGTGTTCAGGGCAGCTTGGGAATTGATCCATTGTAATTCTGTTCGTGACCGACACAGCTTGGGGAGCTGTCCACCGGCGTGTGGTCCTGAAAGACATCACATATACTTCACCAAACAATTAAGGGACATTTCTGTTCTCATATTCAACCGAAAGAAATATCCTTTAATTGTAAGGCAAAGAATATAACGTTTCGTCTCGGATGAAGTTGTCAGTGCTGTGGATGAATAAAGTGAGTCCAGCGGGGCATGCTCTTCATTTGTTTCTCTAAAGTTCATTTTCTTCGATTTACTTTCTGCTCTTCACAAATCTTCTCTCATTCCCTTACAGTCCGTTTGATATCAACCTTTTAAAAATCTATATTGAAACCTTAAATTAAAGTTTAAAATCCAATACAAATGAAAGCAAACAGAAACATCATATGAAACATTGGATTCTGTCTTAAACTATAAAAAGAGAAGCTGTGGAATTATTACCATAAGGAGCTTTTTCTACTCGATCAGGTAAAAAATCACTTTCGGTTACCAAATACAATGTCATATTAAATGTTGTTTTGGCTCAACTAAAATCAGTAAATAATCACTGACAAACCTTTCTATACATTGATATTTAAATTGCATTAATGTGGTGCAATAAATACACACACAGACACACACAGAAAATGATATATCATGAAAATGGCAGTATTGTACACGAGCCCACAGCTCCCTTTTCACCGGCAATATCGTCTCCGCAACACGTCCTCACCATAAACACCGTGTCTGAATGAAACCATGTTCACATGGAGAAATGCGCCTTATCATGTGTAGAATTTCCACGGATTTCTGACAGCGGCGCTCCATCTCACGCCGCGGGAAAGTCGATTCCTCTTCGTGACGTTGCACACTATGTACTTCATCATCCAGTTAAAAAAATATATAATAATAATGATAAAAAAAAGCAAGAATGAATCCATTGCACGCTTTAACACTCAAAAGAAAGTTAGCGTTTCCTTATGTGCGCGACGGATCACTGAGAGACCATGTCTACATTAATGTCTCCCATATGGAAATCTCTACGTCTATGTTTACTCACTGTGATTCATTGGAAACTAAAATAATCTATCAACATAGAGAATGAATCAACAGCACACTTGAACACTCAAAAGAAAGTTACCGCTTCGTTCGATGACTCTGAACCACCGGCTTTCCACAGGTTTTCACGGGTGGAAAGCTATTCAATCACGTTCTTGCAGAGGGGTCTCGTTCCTAAAAGTTGAACTGTTTTAACTCGAAAACGCTGGTTATTGCGAAAATCGGTTAAAGGTAGCGAGACGCGATGCAACAGTCAACGACGAGAATATGATGCTTTTTTCTTTCTTTCTTTCTTTCTTTCTTTTTTTTTACGGAGACAAAGGATTAAATGAAATTGCACAGACGGAACGCAAAAACGGTAACGTCCTCTTAGGCAGCTGCATGTATGTTTAGCTTTGTCTTCTCCGGATCGCGTACGGATTCCATCTCTCCGCGCGCGTGCTCGCTCTCTGGAACGAGCGAACAAGCTAGCTAGCGAGAGCGCGCGCGGGGGTGTCCCTCCTCCGCAGTTTTGAGTTTGTGATGTGTTTCAGACTCCGCGAGCGCCGCGCGAGAGAGACCTGCGGAGAGAACGCGCCGGACCCCGAAGCAACCGTTACCCTCCAACAGGCGATCTGCATTTCTCCTTCCTGATTCCCCCCTTATTCCCTCACAGTGTTTCTCACACTAGCGCTTTCCTAAATTGCCGCCACACTTTTTGGTTATTCACAGGTGTATTTGTGCTCCTTTGACGTACTTTTCTCATTCACTGGGAATTAACATACATCTGAGGATCGTGTGGATGCACGGTTTTGGAGAGAAGCGGAGATGGAATTGCTGATAATATGCCTTTCTTTTGGGATATTGCAATGCAGTTCGGTGGGAGCCGACTCCATCATTCACATCGGTAAGGAGTGAGCTGTTCAAAGCCTTTATTTGTTGCAAATGATAATGAATGCGCCATCCAGATTGAAGTGAAGGGACTGCGTTGTAAGGGTCGGTGTGAAATGTCAATTGCAAATAAACATTAAAAATGCACCCTACTAATCGGGCTGAATGTCAATTGAGCAGACCACTTGCGATCATAACGTCCCTCTTGTTCAAATTGGCGATAGTTCCAATGCACTGATATGCATGAACAAGACTAATCGAATTGCAGTCTTTGCAGCTTGTTCATGAGCAAGGCATAATTGAGTAAATAGCAGATTTCAGGTAAGTTGGAAATTCAGGAGGCATCTGCCATAAGGCAAAGTAAGCCAATGTGTGGGGGTTGCTCTCCCCCTCCCATCTATAAGATTGAACTTTGTATGGAACGTGAGGGAAATCTTAATAAAGGATGCTGAAGTAAATAAATGACAAAAGGACAAATGCTTATTCTTGGCTATCCCAGGCCGTAGATGTCATCTTAACCAACCCCCCCTTTGGATGCGCTGGTCACACTGTGCATTCTAATTGTCTCACCAAACGTGAGGAAAGTACGATTTTTGGCACTCAAACAGCAGCAGAGAGAAGGAATAGAGGCTGGTGAGGGTGGCTGTGGCTCTATTCGGTTGTCATGAAGAACTGAAATCTAAACCTTTAAATCTCTTATATGCATGATGTACATTAACCAAATCAGCCATTCTCTTAATTAAGAGGGAATTTATTAGAATCTGTTGTCCATGTAGTGAAATTAAGCCACCATATTTGCCATAGAAGATTCTGCTGTAGTGTTGCCAATAAACCCGAACAGAACCCCCAAAACAAAACTACTTCTTATTGAAGAAAAAGCTTTCACATCAACAACATATAATTGTCTTGGGTGGCCAACACTGACCAAGTGAGTTGGTTATACTCAATATTTATTATAGTTTTAACAAATCCAAAATGAGCAATGCTTGTGTTAAGCAATCTGTGTACTTTTCTAACCATTTTGTTGACCAAGACTTTGGGGATGATTAACAAGGAAGTTAAGCATGTACTGGCATTGGAATTCACACTTTAAAATGAGGTGTATTGATTGCATTTGAGAGCTGTGGTGGATGTGAAATACAGTGTGAAAGAATCTTTTGAAATGCTACATCTTATGTACAAAGAAATAATTAAATCCACAGCTTGTTCTCAGATACTTCAGGTTAACTACCAGTTGCATGGGTCTAGGTAGAAAAAAGTCAATATCCAATATATTTTTTATCTATACCTTTAAGTGCAGGACAGGTGGCTGTGGCTGTGTAATAGGCAGGACTCAAAAGGTGCACGACACAGGTGAAATAACAAATTCCAGCCTCTCCAGTGCCCAATACTTCCACTTTGTCACATCCCCTAGTTATCATCCTGACCAAATTCGGCTCCGAAGGGCAAAAGAAAAATAGGGCCGCCCATTGAATGAAGAGGGTGACATGAAGTGATTTTCAGGGTGGTGTGGTGATTTACAGAGGCAATGGCCATCCAAAACTGGTAATTGGAAGGCAGTATAGGCAGTGTGGATCAGGGCTGTTCTCACTGGCAACTGGAATGAGCAGATGCGACACCCCCATTTCTGCTAAATAAGATGAACATTGCAGTGATACATCAACCAGATTCTACCTGTCTACACGCCCATCCGATTGAGCTCCTCTAACACAGGTAGAGAAGATGGGTACATTTTGGCCACACATAAATGAGGCCTCTCAATCTCTCAAAAACATTTCAAGATATCATGCTTAAACATACATTTACTAAGCTACTATAATACGAATTAATCTGCGTGCAACTTGTCACCCCACTTTATTGTAAATTGATTTTATAAGCTCATTCTTGGCATGTAAATGCTGGGCTCAACAGTAAGGATTTTTGGTCCTGCTTTATATTAGTTGACTTTAACTACTACTGTATTTGCTTATGTCAAAAACAACTGTGTTTGTGTTGTATTTCAACACACTTTTATGCTATTGAGGTGGGATATGGATAAGGCTTGGTGATGTGGTTAGGTTTAAGGGGTAGGGGTAGACGGACGACAGAAGGTCTGGACTCCATTGGCACAGGATGTCTGACCGACATGTAAAAGCAATCCACCACAGTTCATGTTGTTCCACGGCATGGAAATGTGAAGTCTATACCTCTACGATAACGGCATGTATCTTAATTAATTATTAATTCAAGATCCTGGTACAAGTTTACTGCATCACAACAGCTTTATTCATCCAAAACGCAACAGCTTTATTCCTCCAATCGGGGTGGGTTTGGCTGGCATCTTGACGGCTTTTTTTCCCAGGTGGAATGTTAAAGAATGAGACACACATGTCTCCCGGAAATCTTGTAGAATTAAATCAATCAGATGTTTTATGCATCAGACATTCAGCCAACGGTTAGTGAGCATAACATCTGAGACCAGGATAGATGTAATTATATGCAAATTATGCAGGTATTTTTTGAAATACCACATAAAACATGTATGTTACACATCATTGCATCAAATTAATTTGGATGTTTGTACATATATAAATACACTTAATATAAAGTGGATCCAAAGTGTTTTTTTTTTTCTTTTTGGAGGGACCAGTACATACGATATTTGAATGTCCTGCAAACATCTTCCTACGTTAGGCAGTTGAAACATTCACTAACATATTAAGATATTTAAATCAGCAGAATTCAACAACATTGTTCATGTTAAACGCTTTCAGCAGTGACAACATAAACAAACGGTACTGCGCATGTGCATTAATCTGGCCAAAACTTAACTTCCGGCAGACTTGCGGAGACAATCCATAACAAGTAAATAACCTAGTAACTGGTATTTCTTGCCAGTCAAATAAAATAAATGTTACCTGGCCAAACTGAAATGTGACTACCAGACCCGTTGAACAAAAATTGGAGACAAGATATTTTTCTACCGACGTGTCTGATTTACCGCAGTGTTCAAAAAACTGGCGAGCACGACGGCGTAGTTTGATAAGGTTAATAACATAGCTCTCCTTATTAGCTAGGCTTCTTACATGCTTGCTAACCTTTTTTTAAGGTGGGTCTCCACATTGACCACATGTTGGATGGATCTGTGCAGCGCTGTTTACGATACTAACCATTCAATACACAGACTGGTCCGCTGTCAATGTGTTTGCGAGAGAGAGAGAGAAAGCGTGCGAATATGCGCTGCACGCAACTGCAGTCAACAACTTTTCCCATCTTAAATTGTTAAAAACATGAAAATCAATATGTGGCGGCCAGCGCTGATAATGTGGTGGGCTGCCACTAATAAATGTATGTATGGGAAACACTGTACCGGTTATCCCTCAGATAAACATAGGCTATTTTAATACCGCCGTCTCCCTCATAGGAAACCTTGACATTTTTGTTTTTAAAAATTGCGTTTGCTCCCTACTAGGTCAGGTTGGACCCCACAGCTCAACAACCTGCTCATCACCTTAACTTTCACTTCATTTGTAGTGAATGCCATATTATCCAGTAATCACTAATAAACGAACAGAACGGAAGTTAACTTTGGGCCAGCTCATCACCATGGCAACGCGTCTGATGAAAGCGTCTATAGAACGCAGGAATGAAACAAATGTAACTTTTTGATGTTTCTGTTAGTTTATTGCAACACCAATTTAATTTTATAAAACATAAAGAAACAGACCAGTGAAGGAAATTCTAGGTCTAATTTTAGTTGGGAAATCATATTTGCATCAATTTGCATTCAAATACTGTATGCACACATGTATTTTTATTTGTATTCTTTTCTCACTCAGTTGGGAATTACACAAACCATGTAAATGCATATATTCAATTCAAAACAAACATATTTGAGAAAAACAGTCAGCTAGTTTGCATCACCGGATGTTGGTCGTTAAACATTTTTATTGCAAAACAGTTGATGTCACAGTTTGTCGTCTTCACCTGTTTGTCCCGTCATCTGCACTACACTTCCCCGGATCCTTTTGTTTCTACTCCCGGACTCACTCCCCAATCAGCCACCTGTTCCTCGTCCTGTCATTATAATTTTCACCTGTGTTCACCCCACTTAGCTTAATTCCTCTGTGTATTTAGTTCAGTTCAGTTTCATTCAGAGTTTGTCGGTCGATGTCTTTCATTGTTCAGTGTGAACCCGTGTGGTGCTCGTGTTCCTGTCTGCCTGCTGGTATTTATATAATAAACCCTGTTCTACCTGATACTCCGGTCTCCTCGTCCTTCTGCCAGAGCCACACCGTGACAGTTGACATGTAGGCTATTAAATAATTTGCTATTTACATCTTACCTCACTCTCTTTTAAAGTTAAACTGATGCTACTTACTTACTTACTTACTACTTACTTAAGGTTTGCCCATTGCTCATTATTTTATTACATAAAAGGTTCTGAGATAAATGCAGTTTATCTTTTTTATATTTAGTAAAACAATCACCAGACATGTTTTTGCCTTGAGTTGTCTGTAGGAAGGGTTCATATAACTCAACTGGTAGAGCATAGCGCTGGAAATGTCAAGGTCATGTGCTCGATCCCAGAGAACACACATGCTGATAAAAAAAAAATAAATAAAATTAAGTACCTTGAATGCACTTTAAAGTGACTTTGGATAAAAGCATCTGCCAAATAGATAAATGTTTATTAAACAATAGACCTGTGAGCAAGATGAGCCGAGCAAGTGAATTGCCCTCAGTATGCAAATTAGCAATTGCTACAGTTTCTTTGTACTCTCCACTAAGACCCAGATAACTATCTGCACATGCCCGCAGGTGCCATTTTTGAGGAGAACGCAGCACGGGATGATGAGGTGTTTCAGTTGGCGATCTCTGACCTCAGCCTCAACGATGACATTTTGCAGAGCGAGAAAATCACCCACTCCATAAAATATATTGAACCCAACAACCCCTTTCAGGCAGTCCAGGAAGGTGAGTGGATCATCATGTTATGTCTCTTGACTCACAAACTGCATCATTCACTGACGTCTGAGTGTACAAGCTGAAAAATGTACATGGAAGTTGTTGTCTGGCGGTTTGAATAACTCTCCAGCAAAACATCGAAATGACATACAGCAGCGAGGATTTCTGCTTTTGTTCAGAGCGTGCTTACGGCAACCAAAGATGTCTTGAAAATGCATGTGTATTTGTTTAATGCCAGCATGAAAGGTGACGTTAGGTTTCAAAGAGTTCCACCTGAAGCTTTGTCGCAGTCTAATGTCTTCTGTGAAAAAAGAGCTAGGTGGAGGTATTGAGTCAAGCTGGACTCAATAACAATTTTCCACATAATTGCAGTTGAGGATGAGTGCTCTGAAGTCTGAGCTTTCCAAAAGATTATTTTGAAAAGCGAGGAGAAAGAGAATGTCTTCTTCTGAATGGACTACTGGCAGTTAATGATGCTGGGATTGAAGACAAATACGATGGTGATGGCGATGGTGATGGCAATGATTATTTCCGTTAGAAAATATCCTCCATAACAATATTCTGTGTTGGTTTTTGAAATTTTGGCACTGGGATCAATCTAAGTGTGGTATTGACGTAGATATTGCACAATCTTTCCTTGAGGTTTTTTGTGTCATTCTTCTTGCTCTGCTATTACTGGAACCCTTATCAACTAGTCTCCAATCACAGAGTATACTCACTGTGTTGTTTGTCGGTGTGCAGTTCTCCACAGTTTTACTGCTTTCAGTGTAATAGGTGTCTTTCAGGTTTGTTTGTTGAAGTGTTTTATTTCCCACGTCACCTTGTCAACCGGAGGAATAACACTGGCACACTTGGAGAACATCCTTATTCTGACAATGCTGTGTGACCTCACATATGGCACAGAGGAGCTTAACTCTTTTTTAATATAGCTTGTGTTAACAGATAGAATGAATCTGTCTCCATGTATTTTGATTTGTTTCAACACACCAGGGATAAACTTCCATAGTGTTTCATCACTGGCAATGTATTTGGAATGATTGTCACTTGTTTTTCACGAGTTCAGGGGGAATGAATATATATATATATATATATATATATACTGTATATATATGTATACATAGTATTAGTAATGTTTCCAAACTTGTGTGTATGTGTGTGTGTGTTTATATATATACATATACATGTTTCTGAAAGAAGTATATTGTGCTCATCAGTCCTGCATTTATTTAATCAAATATATATATATGAAGAGTTCAGATGCAAAAGCCTCTAAATGCCATTTGAAATTTTCTTCTTTAATGATGGTTTTTATCAAACTTGTATATTTAAGTTCAGTAATTTCACTTAAATAACAATTAATAGGTAATCTTCATTGCCATTTAAGTGAAATTACTGAACTTAAATATACAAGCTTGATAAAAACCATCATTAAAGAAGAAAATTTCAAATGGCATTTAGAGGCTTTTGCATCTGAACTCTTCATATATATATATATATATATATATATATATATATATAAAAATAACCCCTACATCCGGTTCCCACTCAACCCGCTCTGAGCGGGCCTCAAACCCGGGTCTCCAGCATGAGAGTCAGGCGCTCTAACAAGGAGGCTAAAGACTACAGCCTCTAACGTCTGGCGCTAAAGCGCTTATTGAGATCAGGGGAGTGAGGTTTACTCGCACAGCAACTACTAGCTGGCCTCCGTTACACTCACCCCCCTAAACCTCACTCTCATCCGGGTCACGGCACCAATGTAACCCCTACACCCGGGTCCCACTCGACCCGCTCCGGGCGGGCCTCGAACCCGGGTCTCTGGCATGAGAGTCAGGCGCTAAAGACTGCAGCCTCTAATGTCTGTCGCTAGAGCGCCTATTGAGATCAGGGGAGTGAGGTTTACTCGCATAGCAACTGGCCTCTGTTATATATATATATATATATATATATATATATTTGTGCATTGCACAAGTCTCTGAGTTTTTACAGAACTATGCCCCCTCTGGCGACAAGTGAAACTGAAACCAGAGGTGTGCATGCTCGTTGAGCACACATGCTTGCACGAGCTGTTCATAACCAAAGGAGCATCAGCCACACAAATCTTTTGTTACAGTCATAATGTCTTCAGATGTAATAAAGTTATAAATCTGCAAGTCATTTTAAATATATGAAAGGAAAGGCATTTGAGTAAATTACACACTTATGTGTGAGGGGAAAACGGGGGTAGTAGAAAACATTGTTTTTTGTTTCCATATCTCCATGTTGAATTGTTTTATGTGCTTACTGTATCCACTTATTATTGTATTGTTATGGAAACACATTCATGAACAATATAAGTTATTACTTTGTATAGGATCCCGTTTGAGCCCTTGAGCAGACCGGAGATCTATCCATTTGTTGAAATCCTTCTCGATGTTGACTCTCGCCTGTCTGACTCCAATTTGGCTCCAATTTGAAAATCCAGTTTTATTTTCTTTGTCTTACGAGGAGTTTGCATTGGGGTTTGGAATGAACTACAAGCCTGTCTCTTTGAATCCATCCTTTACTTTTGTCGAAAGTTCACTAAAGTTTCGAGTTGTCTTCGATGATACAGAGAATGGCGGCGAATACACAAACCTGCCAGACATAGCCAGGTGAGTATGACGTCACACCCAGTCTCAAACTCTGTCCCGATTCGCTCTTTTTTTTTTTTTTACTGTACAGGATTATAGAGGCAATCGCAGTTATCAGAGAAGGGCTCATTCAGCCCATCAGGCAATTGTTTAAGCATATATGGGTTAGAAAAACGGGTATTTTTAACATGTACATGTATTCATTTAACCGGCACTTTTTATTCAAAGCGACTTACAATTGCTATATATGTCAGAGTTCGCACATTAAAAGTTGCGCAATGCACCTTTAAAGTAATGAAATTCTAGTTGGATATAATTTAAAATATAATTTATTTCTGTGATGCAAAGCTGAATTTCCATCAGGCAAACAGTTTTCTGTCTGGATTCTATAATGAATAAAAATTAAAAAACAAAACAAAAAACTACTGTTCAACTACTGTTTGGGAAGATTATTTTATTTTTAATTTTTTTTTGGAAAGAAATTAATACTTTTATTCATGAAAGATGTGTTAAATTGATAAAAAGCTGATAGTAAAGACTTATATTATTTAAAAATATCTATTTTGAATAAATGCCTTTGTTTTTAAAACATTTTATTCATCAATGAATCCTGAAAAAAAGTATCACAGGTTCCAAAAAACATATTAAGCAGCACAGCTCCATCAAATAAATAATGCCTTGATGAGCTTAAGATACCTCTTTCAAAAAAAAACTTTTTCCGGTAGGCTACTGTGTTGTTTCTGAGATATGTTTCTTGTATACAACAATGTGTTATCTTACAAACAAATGTCATTATTTGCTACTGGCCCTCTGCTTTGGTGATCATTTGAGATCGTCCAGTTATGTTTGTTCTCCTGCATGAATGTGTTGTCATGGTAGTGTGGTTGAAATGCAGAGCAGTGTGCAAGTACCTTAGCGCAGTGATGCTGTGCTCTCTTGACTGAATGCCCTGTTGATTTTGGCTCCGTGAACAGATTCAAGACCATTCAAGTCAGCCAATGGAACTCTTTTTACTTCTTCTTTTTTTTTTTTCACAGTTGCCGTCTCAAAATTGTAACAGTAGTCCACATTGTGTGCTGGCTGTGCCAGAGGAAGGCATCGGGGCTTATTTTATTATGCAGCAAACACTTGAAGAAGCAATAATATTTTTCAGCATTCAATATGTTTAATAATTGTGATAAGTTTCTTTAGTGCTAAATCCGCAAGCAGCATGTTATTTGGAGTGATGGCTGCTGTATTTTTAGCTTAAAAATAAAAATAATCTTATATTTGAAAATATATTAAAATTGAAAACCGCTTTAAATGACCTTTTTGCAATATTATTCTTTTACTTTATTTTTGATCAATAAATGCAGCCTATATGCAGCCTTGAACTTCTTTCCAAAATATGAAATAATCCCTATGGACCCCAACATTTCAGGGTGACCCTGAGATTCACTTTACCCATTCTTAACCATTAGGAAGTAACGAAACCTAACCTAACGAAAGTAAAATCACTATATTTTCACTCCTCAGGGTTTTACTTTTTTTTTGTGCCCAGTACAAGGCAATGTAGTCAAATAGCTTATTAAGGAATCATCTGCTGATATGACTAGAAGCTTAACATCAATAATACAGGATATCCCTGTGAGTTGTTCATAAAATCATTGCCTATTGCCTGAAGTTGATCTTAGAGTAATACTTTGCCCAACTCGATTTTTTATCAATTGCTGTCCATTTCTTCATAATTGCCAAATGTGTTAAACTTTCATTCCGTATGCTCAGGCTCTTATTTTATACTAAGTGCAAAACTACAGAAACAAATGGAGATGATGTAATGAAACTCACTAGATTAATCATTTCATGTCTGAGATGAATAAAGATTTGAAGCTTGTGAAATGTCCCAAACCTCCCTAAATGCAGTAGCTTTTATTCATTGTATCATAGCTGTTTTCATAGTCATTCTTTCTTTGTTAGTTCACCAAGTTTAATTTGGTTAGATGGGCATAGCACTCCAACTGCTTTATTATTGGAAAAGCAATACGCAAAAGTAATGTTATGATGATCACGTACTGCGCACAATGAATCTAAAAAGGGTTGTGACTTTCTTAAGTGCCTCTTTTACACTGTTTGATAATCTACTGCAGTGACAAACACATTCCACAAGCAAATTAAATTCTGAAAAGTTCAGTTTAATTAATCCACAGGGCTCAATGTTAAGGGCTCAACTGCTGCACGCACAACACTTATGGTACAGCGTGCGAGTACCAAACTGAGAGGAATGTGTTGACATTCCTCAACTGGTAATTTCACGTCTTCGTGTGCTTGAATATATTTAAATTGGCAAGGCTTAAAAATGCGCAAATTATCAACTTCTGTGAAAATACCAATTGACCAATTGTGAAGATGCCAATTCTGTGA